GGCGGCCCTGGTAAGAGCCCTCCGTAAAGCCCTGGCCACGACCCTCCTCCTGGGAGACAGAAGTAAAGGAGAGATAATGAGACGAGTGTAGAGAGTGAGACAGAACAGGAGCAAGAGGGATGAGCAACTTATTGTCATCACAAGTAGGGCAGATAGCAAGGCTGCTTGCTCAGCATTCTTCAGTGAAGGGAAGTCGACATCATAGAGCTGTGAGAGCATATGATCGATTACTGCAGCAGGAACATGACTTGACTTACTGCGATGAGAAATACATTCAAAAATGTCTAGTACAGATACGGGATACTCTAACAAATCACACTGTAACATGCTTCTTTTTACACATTAGCTTTACATATAAAAAAGGGCTAAATTACAATTATTACTGGAATATATTAGCCAAAGGAACACAGTAATCTCAATTTGGTAAGTATTTGGTCATTTAATCTGAAGCATATGTGCCAACTTTGAGGCCTTTATATTGAGCTACAGTCTGAATTCTTGAGCTCCATCAGCCCACTCAAGACTACAGCTGGGCTGTAGCATAAAAACAACATTGTGCTGCAATAGACAACCCTTTGTATTTTATTACTTACTGTGCTGTACACACAGTACAGAATGAATGGCATCACATCAAATAATCAGATTTAGTGTAGAGATTAAATGAATAGTTAACACAAAAGATAAAATGCTGTCATCATCTGCTCGCCCTCGTGTCAGTCAAAACACTGCAGCTTTGTTTCAGCCTTCTCTAAAACAACATTTAAAGCCTGTCTCCACCTTTAAAGTTTAAGAGAGGGCAGAATTTGACCATAAACTTTACATTTGTAGAATTAAACCCACAAATTTTGAAGCTGAACACCTAAGTGTCAAAGTCTGACAAGTACATCATTCAATCCTGCGTTTTCCACAAGTCAAAATGTATATGATGCATAAGGTGCCAAGCTGACATTCTCATAGCAAATGTCTCACAAATGTGAACATTTAGCTTTTCATTCGGCCTTGGCTTGTGCTCTGTACAAACAGTCCTATAGAGTCACCAAATAACTCACAATATTCAGCTAAAACTTTCTGGGTCCATTTGTTGTTTCCAAACGTGCTATGAGTTGTAATTACAACTTTCCAACACTGTACACCGGCAAGACACTTGCGTTTGTGTACAGAAAGGATAGATGAATAAACGTAGTTGTACATTTCCCCCCCTCTGTTATGTATATAGCTACTAATGTCCATTGAACTTAAAATAGTAGACTTGCACTCTAGCAAATGAATGGTGGTGTTCACAAAATCACATACTTCTTTCTGTCTTATTTATTAGGAGCAAGAGTACAAACACTTCATTGCATTGCAATTGCCATAAGCACTTTCACTAATGAATGCTAAAGCAAGGAGTGTATGTTTCCATTTGCTGTACTATGGTTCTGTTACTTGTTACACTTATTTATATATATATATATATATATACACACATATATATATATAGTATAATCACCTGGTTTCAGAATGCCCTTGAGAACCAATTCTTGGCTGCTTCTTTTGTATCGGATAAGACTGAAAGGAACTTGCACAAGCAAGACAGACACACATTTAATCTGTGTTGTAACTGGTTTAAAGGTGAGCAGTAAGGACAACCTGTTTACTTTTGTCAGCTGGTTTTTACTGATCAGACCCTTGACAATAATAATCTAAATAACTGTTCTTCAAATCTATTCACAGTCGCACTGTGGTGTTTGGTTGTAATTTTACTTTTGGATCCACATCTGTACCTTTTGTTTTCAAGCTGTGGCTCTAGTGGAACTTTTAAAAATCAATTGTTAATTTTCAAATACTTCAACAGGGAAATTTGTCCCATTTGTAGTGTGCAACGTAAACAGTGTCTCTAACACTAAAATGTATATTTCTGCTGTAGCGGAGCCCTCATGTACAAGGATCACAGAGGAAACATAAAATAACTTTCTCTCCAAAAAAGAAAGAAAAGACACAAGAGTTCTCACCAGCAGCTCCACTCCAAACCAGATACCAGAGAGGGCTCTGTCGGGGAGCAGCGAGCCCTTGAAGCGGACCACACCAGGAAGAGGTTCATCCCCTGAGCGCAGCTGGACGCGCACCTTCGACCCACAGTCAATATCACGGACGCGCTCTAGCCGTGACTTGTTGCAGAGCAGGGCATATCGCTCCTCACAGTTGGTAATGGGGAACAGCAGCTCAGCCAGCTTCTCATCCAGCTCCAGGACATCCCGCTCGTCCAGGCTCAGCACCACGTTGGTCTGGTCCAGGATGCGGAGACTTTTCTTGCCCTTGCATGGGGGCAGTGTTCGCCCCAGGCTGTTGCGCTCCTGGCAGGCCTGACCGAGACTTCCACGGGGGATCCTCAGGGTCTTTTGGGGAGGCTTCTCCACCGTACACTCCTTTATGACCATGTAGAAGCGCCAGTCCTCCCTGAAGCCCCCACTGGGCTTCTCCTGGCTCCACAGGGATGAGCTCATGGCTGCATGCTAGGCAGGAGGTCCAACATCAAGGCAAGCTTGACCTCTGGTCTGCAGGGACAAGTAACAAATGATTACCTTCATGGCATGTATTCAAGGAAAACAAAGACATATACAATTGAAATTGTAGGGAATGCTTATTCGATATATTTATTTAATAAATTAAAACACAATATAAATTAAAGTACAGTGAAAAACTGTCAAGTTCATTTTCAGAAGTATCAATTGTATGTTTTCCGTTAGTAGGCAGGCAAGACAACAGTAGATGCTTACGAAGCAGCACACATGAAAACCAAGTGTTTCCATACCGAAATAGGTTAAACACACAAGTAAAAGTGCAACCATGGATAAAATAAGGCACCAGGCAAATTGTATATACAGGATTACTGTAGGTCTGAATGCAATTCTGTATAGAAATTGTTTTTAAGTAATGCTGTATATCTCAATCCTAAGCACAGACTGAAACCTAATAACAAGGACAATATGTGTTTAAAAGCAGACTTCAACATAAGCAAGTGAAAATAGTTTCATTAATGGGTTGTAAATGGATTACTGATGAGCCTCACTGAAATGAGAAACTACCAAACATTGGGTAAATCAGTCTTTCTGGCATTAAGGTGAAGGAAAATAATAAATAATTATCACTAGTGACCTCCTGGTGAAGATGCACAATAATAGATTCATTTCTTCAAGGTAACTTTAGGTCTTAAATTGCTGATTAATGATCTTCAATTGACAGATCACTGACCCAGCTTGCTTTATGTGGTTTGTTGTGAGACATCTAACAGCTCATGATGGTCTCAGCTGTGTATTCTCCCTCTCTACTGCCCAGTCATCCCTGTGCAGTAAGCACCCCTGTTTTTAGCAGGACCTCGTGTGACATTACTCACATCTACTGAATAGTATTTGAATATTCTAAAAATAGGATGTGAGCAGACAGTTGACTTACTCTGACAACCAGGGCAAGACTCAGATACCAGACAACTGGATTTCCCCTAATGACAGCACAGATGTGCTGATCAGCCAGGCGACACATTGAGGAGCACATTCACACCACATCCGTCATTTGTTTCAAGCATGATACATACAATATTAACTTGATTATTATATTGTTGTTGTTCCCAATAAATGGTGTATTGTCAGCGTAACAACATACCTTTAAGACAACACCGTTATGGCTAACGCTGTACACGGCTAAGAAAAACCACAGCTAGAAAATTGAAAGTAATTTTAACCTTTCCTGATCTGACATGTATTTCGCGTGTTCTTTGAGGTGACAACCACAAAGTTGATTACAGTTTTGTTTATTCTAGTGCCGGTGTCACTGATAGCAACATCATGAATATTTTCCCTGACAACCAGAGCAGCAGTGTGTCATCACCAGGCAAAAGCTGTCAGTCAAAGGCCCTTTAAGAGAGGGAAGTAGCTAACGTACCGTCAGCTAAAATACACCAAATACTAATTTACGTTCACTGCTACCGACATAGACACCTTACCTTTGATACGCGTCAGTTCAGTTAGAGGCTACAGGTGACTGTCATTTGAAATGTCCATTTCAATTTGATACAGGCCTCTGAAAACAAGCGAGATTCCTACCGTAATAACCGCTGATTAGCTAAATGGCTAGCTAATGCTAGCGTCCTAACAAGCTAAGTATCACGCTAAAGTTAGCATAGCGAGTTGCTCGACAGCAAGCAGGCTGGCAGAGGACTGCCACCCTCTACCGTAGGCTATCAACATTTAGATAAATCTGTTCTCCATGGGAAATATGGGAAATAATACAATGTATCGCTACAGCTATTAGATATATTATTTACAGGAGACGACCTCACGAAACTTAATGTATGACATCATTGCGCTCCCTGACAGGCATTGGTCATTCGCTTCGTTCTCAAGCGCTGATTGGCTGTTAATTGTGTTTGTAACCAAGTCCCGCCCTGTGGGGTTTTCCCATGAATGGCAGAACACATAGTTAGGTTGAAGTGTAGCCTGCAGTTCAAATGATGCTGTCTCTCATCAACCACAGGCTGCTTGAAGGGTTATTAACTGTATAATATATATTTAAGTAAGATAAGCAATACAAAAATATAATAAAAAATACTCTATAATAGGTAAGCAATCAAATATTTACTTATCTAAAGCTAAATAATTATCAGCAATGTATTTATGCTATATAATGTATTATTATATATTATTCGATTGTTATTAATGATGCATTCATTTGTATGACACATTTTAATGCTGCAGCTGGTTGTGGTAGAGCTATGCTTCACTGCTTTATATACTGTTGGGAGGTTTAATGTATATGTGTCATATTTTCTAAAATGATCATGTGTTATGGATTTTAATTTAAAAAATCTATCTGTCAGATTGTAGCCTACCTCCAAATGGCACTTTAGTAACTTGAGTGAATTTGTTTAGTTCATTTCCACTGCTGACTACAGGCAACTTACTTTCAGTAGAGACCAACCCTGAAAAGTGTCATTTTGATCTTCTAAGAAGAAAACTGAGATGCACACATTTTACATTTCACATTTCACGTTTTAATATAAAAAATATGTTCTGAAATAAATAAAACAGTTCTTAGCCTACTTAATACAAAATCAGAAGACCAGTCTTGATTCACGTTGTGCCATCTCCTCTACTTCCTCCAAACTGAGGTAATTGTTTCTCAACCTGCAGACAAGACAAAATCAATCAAGGACAATGTACAGCCAGTTTGGAAATAGAAACAAAGTTTTAAGCCAAAAAAGCATTATTGTTTGACCAAAATAAGATAAGGTGTCAACAACCACAGTTTTTCTTGGCACTAGCAGTATGGCCATGCAAATTCAGGATGCAAACAACCACCAATCGTATGTGCTAACCACATAAGAACTTTTTATTTGTGAGTGTATGTCTCAGTGTTCATCACATACCATATTGATTTCACATGGGTGTTGTGTTTTAGAGCTTGAATCAGACATTCCACTCCTGTTCTGGTTATGCAGTTCTCTGTCAACCTTTTACAGGAAATAAGAGGGTGGAGTAGTTCAAGCAGTGCACAGTGAGTACACACATGTTAAATCAGCTATTAAAATGGCATGTGGATTGTCAATACAAGTATAACTTGTCTCCAGCACTTACCAAAGCTCTTCCAGTGATGTGCTGTTCTTTATAATGTTGGCAAGGGCACACGCTCCTGCACTGCCTACACCATTGCCTACCAGGCTGCCATCACAAAACATATTGTACAACTGATATATAAATACAATTGTGGTGATTATGCAACCACACACATTTCATATTTGTAACACATTTTCCACTCTTTCTGCCTATCGTGTGCCAGTATTTAAAGAAAATATTACCTAAGCCACACCAGAGACTTGCTGCTCTCAAGGGCACTGGCAAGTGCCTCTGCCCCTGCATCACCTATCTCATTGCCCCAAAGCCTGTGGATACAAAGAAAAAGTAGTAAATGGAAATGCAGCACCAATAAGATGCACAGGATTTTGCAGGAAGGGTTTTTACCCTAAAAACTGTAGTGAATGATTGAATTTCAGTCCCTCTGCCAGCTGCTTTGCTCCTTCCGCTGTTATATTATTGTTGCCTAGCCTGAAAGAAAATTGTTGATTTGCTATCAGTCAATTATGTTCAACATCAATTTTAAGATGATCTTAATAACTTTTATAGCCCAATATGGTCCAGACCCCAATTATATTATGGACCTAAGTTATTATTAGTTATTAATAATAATTGTATGCTGCATAGACTTATGTGTGTAATATTTTGATTGTAGTCACATCTGATGAGTGCTGAAAATCTGTGACCTTATATGGTAATAATAACCTTATAGAAAGGAAATCCTGCTTGGTCTTCAGAAGATGAGAAAAGTGCTGTGTGCAAGCATCCGTTAGCTGGTTATTGAAGAGTCTAAAGAAAAACAAAATTATTATGAAAGGTAATCCATCAAACATAATTTGTAACTTCACAATAGTATTAATGATTAATCATCTTGACAATACTTACGCAATTTTCTGGAAGTTGTCACACTGGACACCTTTAGCAATCAGTTTGCGGATCCCCTCATCTGTAATGTTGTTATTCCTGAGGCTGATAAAAGGAAAATACACTTCAGCATAACATGTATTTGTCTGCCCTCTAGTAAATGATATGTGGTAGCTTAGGTCACTATGATGAATAGATGGGAGGAAGAAAGTAATCTTTTCATACTCACTACAGTGAATTACAAATATGCATGCAAGGAAGAAGCTGCTCCACCCCAACATCGCCTACAGAATTGTTGTCCAGCTGGAGGCCTACAGGATTCTTTAAATGCTGGAGCACATAGGCTAGCGCGGTGCACTCTACAGGACCAATCTTACAGTAGGTAAGTTTCAAGTGGTCCACCTCCAGCTTGCTCATGGCATCCTTAGCAATCCTGCTCTCCTGCATCTCGTAGATGCATTTGATAAGCCAGACAAAGCCTGGCATTGCATGCATGCTCTTCTTCTCCCCCTCTACAGGTTGAGGGATAGACTTGAAGTGTTTCTGCATGCCTTTGGACAGGCATCTCACCACCTGTTTGGCCCTCTTCTCAATCACAGCGCTGGGGCAGCAGTGGATCCACAGGCTTTGATGCCGCTGGGATAGTAGTCCTGACACAAAGGTGGCTGTGATTTGCAGATTTAGTGTTTCAACTGCTGTAGATTCCCCCTCTAAAACCTGCTCTTGTTGGTAAGTGGACGGCAAGCAGGCACTGAAGCATGTGCTTCTCAGATCTGCCTCCCTCATGCCCTTTGGCTCAAAGAGCTTAGGAATAGTCGAACGGTCAGTGTCATTTGACAACACAATGTACAGACCAGAAAAGAAGCACTGCAGAGTCACGTGAAGGAATTCATAGCGTTGACTGTGGGTGGAGGACATATCTTTGCTTTGTATGAGAAAGCCCATGCAGATATCCTTTTCAGTTACACCACAAGTCTCCAGGTCTCGATCTGTGAAGATGTAACAGCTGGTTGCAATCCCCTCAAAGGCAAGCTGCCCTAGATGCAAAACTGTTTCTAAGTTCTCCTGAAGCCAACCTATCCCCAGGGTGCTCTGAGAGCTTTGGTGCTGGAAAAAGTGTTGTAAGATCATCAGGTACACGTCTGTGATTGTCTGTGGGCTGCCCTCTCCACAGCCTAGCAGCTCTTTATAGCACTGTGAGACAATCCAGCAGAGGACTGGACTATGACACAGGCCAAGTAAAGCAGTGTTTGTCTGTAGGGACTCCAAAACCTTAGCAGCCACAGTAGGGTCCCTGTGATGCTTCCTCACAAAATAGTCAATTCCACTTGGGGAAAAGCCTTTCAAGAAGGCCTCTTTGCGAAGGTGTTTTTTCAACACAGGGCCCACTGCCTCTGGGCGACTAGTTACCACTTTCCTCACTCCCTTCATTAGGGAGCCCTGGATTAAGTTAAACAATAGTATGTGAACAGGTGCACGTTGGGTGGGGCAGCAGAGCCTGTGTTCATCTGAAAAGCTCTGCTTGAGCTCATCCAGGCCATCGAAAGTGAAGAGAATGAGATGTGGGTGGTCAAGGATGAACTGGAAAATCTCTTCCTGCTCCCTGTCTGGCCAGCAGCAGTGCTGAAACAGCAATTCTTGGACAGACAGTTCCCTGTGCTCAGAGTTCAACCTGCGACAGCTGAATGGAAATATAAGGAGAAAGTCCTGGAGGGCTGCCCCCCGAGCCCAAAGCAAGTGCAGTCTCTGGAGTAAGGTGCTCTTCCCACTGCCTGCATCTCCAGACACTAACACCGTATCGGCCTCCTTATTCATTGTACCCGCTGTACCAACTATGTCCTCCACGCCCAAAGGTCCATGGACATCAACGCACTCATGAGATAGTTCCAGCTGGCCTTCAGTGTAGATGTCATCCAGAGACATGTGGCTGGTCCCTCCATAAGTACTGAGAAAGCAGGACTGGGCAGACACAGAACTGCTGAGCTTCTTCTGATACTTGAATAACTCTGTGGCAGAAAAAATACATATGAGATAACCTACAATAGATACAAAGGACTGCAAAATCATACATACTATATACTATATATGATACTAATATCATACTATACGATATACTTCCCCCATAGGGAAAATTGTCTTTGACCCAAATGCTGCACACGTATTGCTGCCTCCATAGTTAAACAAATCCATAACAATACAATAGACAAAGCAGTATACTCTGGTAAATCAAGTAATACATACTGTACATTACTCATTTGAAATGTGGCGTGCTGACAACTGGTCTTTTTACATTTTTGAATGAGTACATTTTCAACAAAGTTATGGTAATAGCATACCTTTGGGAGGAGTCACTGTGTCCTCGTTCAGCTGTGATCCGGATTCCTGTTTTTGCTGAATGAACTGCAACACAACCTTCGCGGCTAGTTCTCCTTTTGATCTGACATGGTCAAGAAAACGCCTTGCCTGATTGACACATGAATGGCAACACTTTAATTGTTGTTAAAAAGTTCAGCATTTCGGGAAATACGATTATTTGCAGTATCAAATAGTTTTAAGCAAAGAAAAAAAATTAGGGAGTTTTATACCAGTGAACAATGTTAACATAAAACCAGCAACAGCTTCACTTCCTGTATAAAATTCCAAAGTTGCCAATAACAGCAAATGCAAACCAAGCATCAATTTCATTCCAACTGAATAGGTAACAGGAACAATACACACAAAACAAGAATATTAACAGGAAGTTGCCAAACCACAGTTTAATAATGTGCATAAAACATGGCTATTTACAGTACCTGCTGGGAGGGCGTGTGTATAGGTAGGCGCACATCATCGCAGTCTGCTGAGCTGAAGTGTCCTGATATGACGAGGGCTTTTAGAGCACCATCAATGCATCCCTGTAGCTGGCTGACCAGGCTTGGTCTTTGAGTCAGAAGAATCTGAGTAGATGTGCCCTGGTATTTTTTTTTCTCTTCTAGATTTGAACAGCATCCTGAAAACGAGAGGCCAACTCCCTGTGCCTCAGGCAGGACTTGATTGAGAGCAGCAAGGAAGAGCCCACAAGTATCCACACCTTTTGTATAAACCAGGTCGAGCAACTGTCTGGCTTTGGTATACAGTGCCCTACCCGGTACCTGTATGTCCTGGTACTCCTCCCATATGAGCTCCCCATGGGCCAGCAGTATGTCCAGAATCCGTTCCAGAAGTTCAGCTGACCCACTGCTGCACAGTGCATGCAGTATTTCTGTCCGTTGTTTCAGCACAAGCTCCTGGACAGACATGCTTTCTGCATGTCAGCATCCATACTCAGGAACATCCAACATGTACCTGCGCTGCTTCCGATATCACAATCTGCCACAGCAAACACCCACATGACATCAGGCCACTACAAGCCACCAGGGGTTTCATTCTTATTCAGTAAAATTTCATCAGATACTGTAGGATCAGTGTTTTTACTAACCCCATAGCTTTTTTGTTGTTTGATTATACACCACCCTCATTTAACACATGTACAAACACACAAGATTGACTTAAGGACTTAAAATGCAACACACAGTAATGTCATTGTAAGATTATCACTCACGTTAGAGTCTCCTCAACAAGGAGCTTTCTTCCCTCCAAATGTCATTTGTGGAGAGACGCTGCACCACTTTAGACTTGCCTCTTCCTCATTCCACCACTGAAAGCGAAACATGTTATGCTCTAAGTCCCTCCTGCTAAATGGAAACTAGCAGTGCCTTCCCTTGCCAGCAAATGGAATGAAACTTTAACAAAATTTAAACAACAAGCGGACTGACCCACTGCAATACAGTACCATAGGTTTTTAGGGTGAGGGTACTGGATTTAGGAATACCATAAAGAGGAATTATAGCATTGATAGGAATAGTTCATTTGACATATTTTCAGTAAAAACCACCAGAAATATACTAAAGGGGAAGTTGTAGTTGGTAGTTCCTCAGTGGTTGCAATTTAGTCATGCAACCACTGGATGGAACTATTGCATTAATAAACCACCTTTGTTTCCTTTGTTTTCTCACATTTCTTTATTCCTTTTTATATCTCAGAGGCTGACTTCTTCCTATCATCCTACCCGCACCCCCAATCCTGTCCTTGTGCACAATGTACCCTATATTTTCAGTGACATTCTTTGATGATTACAGGCTGTAATGAGTGGCTCTTGAAGGTTTTTTTGGAAATTAACATATAACTAATGTGATAATCTTAGTATGGTAATAATTATACAGTGTTACAACAGTAATAATATTGTAGCCACTAGGAACCCGCAGCCAAGCCAGCATGCTGTGTACCTGATGTAAACTTCAAAAAGGGCATATAAAACACCACCCTGGAAACAGCTCATATTGTGATTGATTGCCTCTTTCTCCCCTTACATTCTTTGATGTCAAGATTTAAAAAAGGTGCAAGAATGACTTTTTGGACAGTCAGGTGACTAATCATTATTGTTATTATAGCTCCCTCCTGAGCACCATGATTAGTTTACTCTGTTTCTTCACTGTGCCCTGTGGGAGAAAATCCTCAAACACACAAAAGTAATCAAAGGCAGACTGGAATAAAACTTTCTAAAGTGAGTTTCTTTTTTTTTTTCATTCTTCTTCTAGTCTAAGAAACAAGCAGCTCCACCAAGGGGAGTGTAATGCAGAGTACTCTCTGTCAGGCATCCTACATGAAGCTCTAACGGGGAGTTCTGTCATCCAAATCACAGTAGGAGGTCCAGATAAGTTTGGATGGATAAGAAAGAAAGGTAAGGCATTGTCAATAGAAAAAATACAGATATAATCCCAAAAGACATCTCTGAGTATTTCTGTCCTCTGTTACAACAGAATTCTTAACACCTTGAGTCAAAGCAAGAAAAATATGTGGCTCCAACTTCAACCATTTAGACTGTATAACCTTCCTAATTATTATTGAAGAGGTCTTTGGACCAGTTGAGCCAGGACTATAGCCAAAAAACACAAGCTTTTTCTATGTGGCCAAAGGCTGTAACTCATTAACTTTGGATTACTAACAAATAAGTATTGGATAAAGTCAGAATTATTTTCTCCTGCTCACGAATGTTTGGATAGTCTGTCATCTTGCTGTAAACCTAATATCTCTAAATAGTAAGCTGTCTAGGAATTTTGAAAATTACTTTGGATGAGATAAGATGAGACGGGTCAGACTACATCACATATCCAGGTACCACTGTTTTTGGAGCCAAACAAGGTTTTTGCATCGTAGGGGTCAGAGGCTGTAGTGCCTGATCATTCTGTGCTCAGCCTTGATTGGATATTGACTTGTTAATAGGCATCAGGTTCCTGCACATTTCATCCTCTGGGATTTTTGATCAAAAGAAAGAATTATTTTGTGCCTTTATGTTCCTCCAAATCACTTTACAAAAGATTCTGATAAGAGATTAATAATTTTTCCACACACAGATAGGCTGAATCAAACCTGGCCCAGGTGATCTACTCCTCAGCTTGCAGTTTACTGGGCATGAATGTTAAGTCTTGCTCCATATGGAGTCAGCTCTGTGTATTCCAGTAAAACTGGAGCCCAGCACTAAATAACCTTGTCCACACAAGTCAAATTTTAAACTGTATGTTAATGAATAACAGCGCGGTTCAGTACTGGATCCACCCGTCTTTCATAGCAGAGATGGAATACTTTGGCTCCAGTCATTTCATAGCTGTGCATTCTTTCTGTGCAGATATCAAAAGCACATGTGGTGAGCTCAGCGTCGGACCAGGTGCACTGGTGTACTGTGTGTGTGCTGATTGGTTTGCCAGAGACACAGAACTCCCAGAAGCAAATCAGCACATCTCATCCTCTATGAATTCTGAAGTAAATCTACTGTACAGGCAAGTTGTTATACATAACCAATTATCCTCATGTTCAGGCAGATTATTATTTATTTAGTGATAGTGTGAACTTCATAATAATTCACACATCTACCATTAATAACATCAATATAACATACAAAATAACATGACCAAAGATTCAATCAATCAGTCAACACAAATCTAAATAAAAACTTTGTAAGGAAATTTCACATGACATGTATCTATTAAGTGACCAATCGATCTTAAATAATCGGTTCACATTTTCACAAGACTTCTAATCTTTATACACACATGCCCAAATAGTTTTTGGTTGTTGTCCAAACTAGCATTGAAAAGAAACATTTGCTTTGCAGTGTAGGAGATTGGAGACAAAATCTACAGTCTTCTGTGCAAAAAAGGGAGGGAGGGATAGTAAAATAAAAGAAATAATAAAATAAAAAGGGAATTTCATACGGGAAAGACTAACTTTGGAAGATGATTTAATTTGTCTAACTGATGTCTAATAATAACTTCAGATATATTTGGAATGTGAACAAGGACAATGGATTTTGTCTCCCATCTCTTACATTGGAGAAGGAGCAATTATAGCAATCAATACCTGTTTCAAAATGTATGTGGGTGTGTAAGTTTCGTATTCAGACTTAAAGGTCCAGTGTGTAGGATTTAGTGGAATCTAGGGATGAAGTTACAGCTTTCCAAGCGTGTAGGAGAAACTACAGTGGCCATGAAAGTCACAAACAAGTCAAGTCATCTTTGTCCGTTCTGGGCTACTGTAGAAACATGGTTCAACATGGCATCCTCCTTGTAAGAGGACCCACTCTATCTGTAGATTAAAATGTCTCATTCTAAGGTAACAAAACCAGAGACCGGACACAGTTAGGATTCTGGGAAATCATAATACATTTAGATATAAGAGAGGTATGTCAGTGAGTTAAGATGGGGTTTGATACAGTGCTTACCTATGAGTTACTACAAAGTCATGTTTCTATGGTTCTATAATACATAGTCATTCACAATGGGTAGCGGCAACTTAAAGATAATATTTTAATTTATCAACATTTATAGATGACTTACACTCAGCAAACAGCAAATGATCCCCAGCCCCCCAACAAATGATGCAACAAAGATTCCTCTGTCAAGTGCATTCAGTTATATTGGCCTTTCCACAAGCATGGAGAGCTTTACTATTACTACCAGTGCATTATAAAAATGTAAAGAACAACGACAACCACTTTGTCAATGGTAAAAAAGCTTTCAGCTATACATGAACAACCTAATATCTCATTCCTCTAAGACAGAGGGGTGACAGATAAAGGTGGATTACCTCATTTGACTAATGGAGACATTAAGAGGATCACGATATACAGCAATACCATAGCAATGTTAATTCAGGCATCCAATTGACTCATACATTGGAAGGATTAATGTATAATTAGAAGAGGCCTTCCCAAGCTGGAGAGAGAGGTATTCAACAGAGGAAGTAGACGCATCTCTTTCAGAGGAGCATGTGTGCATGACCATGTGTGCATGGGTGTGTGTGTCAATCAGGATTTAATTGACAGGAAGATTAAAGCTCACATCTGAGGACCCCCCCTTTTTTTCAGGAGAAGGAAAGTTGAAGGAGTCTGGTCTCTCCAGCGTCTGCCCAAAGTTTGGGGTGCTGCGCTCAAGGTTAGCGTGGGCACCCCGCTGAGTGTGCGCTGTCTGAAATGGGTCCTACTTGTTGGACATTCATTATCAAACTCTGTTTGCTCCTTTCATCTGCAGCTCTCTGCAGCACTCAACGTAAACTACAGAGGCACCTTGCAGCTTGACATCTCTCCATTCACTCTGTACCTTAAACAGCATGCTGCCACATCAAAGAGCTGCGGCTGCCTTTGATGTTGCAAAAAGAAAGAGCTCCAATGATCTACTAAAAACCAATGCAACTTTCTGGAGCCTTGTTTTATTCATTTGCTATCTCTAGAAGTCTGGAGTCAGTCTCTAGAAGTCCAGACAGCACATTTGTAATTTGGAAAAGTTGAACTGTGCTCTTTGAAAAATGAAGTGAATGAACAACTGGTGAAAAGAGAGTCTACTACCTTTTACTGTGGTGGGGTTTGTTATCAGCATGAAATTTCCTATGGTAAGTGTCACATTGTATACAGTTGGAGGGGACTGTCACTGAGTTTCAGCGTGAAAAAATGCCTAGGCAAAGGAAAACATCCATTACTGTTGACTGTGTTTGTAATAAAATGGGTCAGCCTGTCCCTTTATACAGCATATTAATGCATTAATGGATGAAAATGAAATCATGACTGTGACAGGTTTCATTGGGCGTTTTCTTTTTCTTTTTCTAGCAAATTACCACTGCTGCAATTTAGGTAGTGAACATGCCATGAATCACTGGCCCAGGGTGTAACATTTAGGTGGATCTATTGGCAGGTATGTTTTCATTTCTGTACAATCACTTGAAAATAAGAATTGTTATGTTTTTCCATATTTCAGAATGAACCGTTTTTATCTACAGAGGGAGTGGGTCCTCTTCTACCGAGTTTGCCATGTTGAACCACCATGTTTCTACAGTAGAACTATAGCTCTAGATAGGACCTTTCGTGCATGTTATTGGTGCAAATGCCATCTTCTTACTCAGCCACTTGGGTACTTGAAGGATAAGACATATCAGGCTATGTCTACACAGGCAATACTTGTTAATATGTTCCGTTCATTGTTGGTGTTGGTCTTTTCGTAGGATTT